TAAGCCGACCGTGGCTCGTAGGCACCATACAAACGAAAATCTACGCCTGACGCTCCTGTCTCTTCCATCAGTGACCCGTGCTTAGGCACAAAATAGACTTACACTCTTCGATTCTCTATTAAACGCAGTCTTATTGTCATTGATCAACTTCAAGGGGAAGCCGTTGTGTCTGGTCCTACTGCATCAGGCCCCATCCCAAACCGTAAATCTGTTATGTTAGTCTTTTACCGCATTATTTATATATTTAAAGAGAAAAGGACGCATAAAACGGTTCACCGTAAAGGCATGAAAAACTGAGATGGAAAATAACCTTCAAACTCCGCAGCCCGTGATTTTGCGTCCTTTAGCGAAGTCTGCAGCTCCTCTATATTATCTTCAGCATTGGCACAGACCTTCTCTATCATTTCAAAGACGGTAGTCTGATTGAGATCGTTCTGACGAGGTGCACTAGTAGCCGCGCGCAAGGATGCACATTCCTCCTCAAGGAGAAGCCTTTCAGTTTCCAAAGCCACGAAATGATCACAAAAGTTTTGAAAAGAGGCAGTTAGATCCGTCAGGCTCTTTGAGCTGACTGTTCTAAGGAATTTCCTCAATCTGGTTAGTGCAGGCAGGTCATCTGGAGCAGCACCTGCTGGGAGGGATTCTTGGTCAGCAGCAACAGTACAACAAAGAAGGTCAGATTTAGGCACATTTGAAAGAGGTTGAGCTACTTCCTCGGCGGAGAGCGTAACGTTGGGAGTTTCATCACAAGACAAAGTTAAAGCTGAGGAGAAGTCCTTGTAGGCGAGTTTGGGGGAGTATAGGTCGGTAAACGAATCCTCGATCGGCGACTCTGATTCCAAGATGGCTTGAAGGTTTTTGGCAATAGAGGATATCTGACTTAGCAGTTCTCGGGGATTAGAAAGAGAAGGTGCGATTCGGAAGTCAGAGACTGGGAAGATGACCGTTTCGGACACCTCCATATTATCATCTTTTTCGGACATTTTCAGAAAGGAAAACTTGATAAAGAAAGAAAGTTCGTGTCACCAACTGAGGTCCCGAAAAAAAAAAGAGTTTCAAAACCGAGCGACTACCAAAACGGCATACTGCCAAAGAATATATTGTGATAAGGATTTAACGGTGACGGGCAACACCAAGAAGACACGTTATTTTGCGACGCGCACGCCGACAAGACAAGAAGGAATTCTCACTTGCATCTAGGTGTATCTGCTTCGGTCACAAA